CTTTGTTCATCAAATTATTATAAAAAACCGCTGTTTTGGGTCGTAAAAGTATATTTTTTAATAGGAAAGAATTTATCCAAGCACACAACTTACTGAATCAGCTCCTTTTGATAAAGTTTCTTGCTCTAAACGATTTTTCGAGGGATTAACGGCCCCAATAGGATCGTCGCTTTTGCCACCTGCATGTCCAGTAGCTACAACATTATCGCCTTCGAGTATGCTCTCGTTTGAGACATCCTCGTGGCTCGAATCTAATATTAGTGAGGTGAAGAGATCCTCGACAGCGCGCCATATCTGTAGACGATATCGTAGCACCGATTCCAGCGAACCTGAGGGTTTGTCCTGCGGAAGGGTGTCCAGTTTTATAAGTCGGCACCAGATATCAATAAGGTCATTGGTGGTGATCATAAATGAACCAGGCCCTTCTCCTCGCTGATCATAGCCAGAATCACAAATGCCGGCATATGAATGGAAGAAAATTAATATGATGGAGGAATATTCCGTGAGTAAACGACATGAAAATATTTCAAGCATTCTTGTGCCACAATTATTACGCAATAATTGTAAACATAAAATGTGCATCATTCTAAGCATAAACAGGTATATTGCAGATAAAAAGTTCCAGATGGAATATAAAGATTAACTATCTAAAGATGAAATTCGATTATAGCTTATAATTCAACTAAAATGGGCGATATTATGCAACATTATCACACCCATGATCGTAGGTTATTATTCATTAGACTGTTGGAGTAAGAGTCAAATAAGCATAAGGCAATCTCATAAGAATCTTGATTTTAAATAATTTTAAATGGTTGGCTTTTAAAAATAAATAAAGAGGTGGTTGGCAATAAAAAGTAAAAACTAATAGCATAACTGTTTAAAATTCATATAAATTCCAGATTCTGCTGAAAAGCAATGCAGCTTTGTTTAAAATAGAGATAGATGAGAGCGTTAAAGTATATTTTTCAAATTAAGTATTGTTTTCGTGACTACCAGTAAAACAGTAATATGAGAAGTATTCACCCAATTTCGTTTAAGGTGATTTAGGACTGGTAGAAGAAGAATTTTCCCACAATGATATGAGTTGAGCTGACGTTTCCATTGA